GGTATGTGCTGCCCGAGCCCCACCTCACCTGGCAATACTGGGGCGACTTGGGGTCCACGTCCACTGTGGCTAGGTAATCCGGGGCCTCAATACCGGTGTTTCGGTAAATACAGACCAGGTAGATAATCTCCTCCCTGGGCCCTGGGGGTAGAAAGCAGGCAGTGGGGATGGCGGGGTGGAGAGGACTGCCAGGGTCAGCGCTGGGTGTGTCTGAGGGTAGAGGCCAGGGTTTGAGGTCCCCACCCCACAGCTAAGGCATCAGGAGAGGGAGCTGGCTCTCAGAGGTCCTTCCCATGGTGCTGGGTCTCAGACATCAAGCACGAACCTTTCATGGCCTCCAGAGGGGTCGGGTACCCGGGTCCACACTTCCCACATGTCGTAGCTGTGGAAACAAAGAGGCCTGTTACCTGGATCTGCACTTGAGGGTGAATGTTGCTTTCCTGTGGCTGCAGCACACTTCCTCCCGGGGCCAAGGCAGGTGCGCTGTCCCTGGTGCCTCCTACTGCAACCCCTCCCTCCCACCATCCTCCCTGCCCCTCCAAGCCCTGATAGTGTGTGTGTGTGTGTGTGGCAGGAGGCGCTGTAGAAATATGACCTGAAGGCGGACGGACACTAACGGAACCCAGGTGAGGCAGGAGAGGGGCCCGTGCAGCAGAGGCTGGGTGGTGTAGTGGTCGTGACACTGACGTGGGAACTGGTCACTGGTCAACCATGGGGCTTGGGCACATTACATATTCTGCCCAGTCCCAGTTCCCACATCACCTGTCAAAGGAGGGTAATAGGAATGCCACCGTGAGCTTTTAGGAGAAGGAACCAAGAAGGTGCGGGCAGGTATGCAGCTCTTTGCTTTTCGTCTGCAGCCAGGAAACCCGGGAAGACTGACCCTCAGTGAGCCAGCGCAGTGCCAGTCTGCTCCCTTCACTGAACACTGTCTATTCCAGGGACTGGGACACTTCCTGCTTTTCTCCCCTCTGGGTCCTGACCCAGGCTTTGGCCGAGCCTGGATTACACAACCCAGGGTCTGGTAACTGAGAGGAGGCTGAAGTTCAAGGCTGGGGGCTGACAGCTCCTGAAGTCCTTACACCAGTTTCCACCCCTGGGTGGGCTTCACTTCCACTATCTGTAAATTCTTGGCCCAACTCTGGAGAGCTTGGACCCACCCACCAGAGCTGTATGGAGTGGCTCTCCTGTCCCCTGAGGTCTCCAAGAGCAGTCACACTGCTCTGGGAAGAAAGCCAGTGGCTGAGGAGGGCTGCCAGTCACAGACAACAGGGTTTGGGGTCTGACCAGGAGGGAGGGCTGAGGAATGACAGAGGGAGCTACAGGCTGAAGGAAATCCCGGAATGGAAGTCACAGGACTGGGCACTCCAACCGGCCCTGTCCTAGGGCCAGCGTGGCCTCTGTGCTGACAGCTGGGGGACCGCACGTGGGGAGCCAGGAGTAGCCAGGGTCGAGCCTGCACTGCTGCCTGGGCCCAGGCTCTCCAACAGGAAGCAGGTGCCCCTACTGTCCACAGCCAAGGTCTTTGGATGCTGACGGGCAGTGTCAGCATTTTATAGTTCAGAGGTTTAGTTTCAAGGTCCAGGTCTAATGTCTAAAGTACATTTTCTCTCCTTCCTTTGCTGAAAGGGGTTAATAATATCGTACCTTATTCTCTAGGTGGCTACAAGGTCAAAGAAGACAGTGTGGGCAGGAGTACTTTTGTAAAGGAGAGGGAAGTGTTATATAAATACGGCAGAGTCGTGCCAGAAAGGGGGGATCCCAGGCAGTACTTGGTGCCCAGTATAGGGGTGGGGGTGGGGGTAGGGTGAGAGGAAGTGAGGGTGTGAAGGAGGTGGCATCACCTGTACCATCTTTCCCCGCCCCCAACCCCT